GAAGGAGAAACGAACACAGAATGAGATGTTCAGATGAACTTTCTATAGGAGGAAAGACAAAAAGCACATGTTAAGATAGAAATAATTACAAATAAAAACAGGTAGAGTAAAGTAAGTAAAGACAGCAGCAGAGAGAGGAACTGTGGTCAGTTTGTCCTCCAGCAGTCTAAGCCTATAGCAGCATCAATAAGGGACAGCTCGGGAAACCCAAGCCAACCCTAACTATAGGATTTATCAAAAAGGAAAGACTTAGGCCTAATCTTAAAAGTAGATGCGGTCAAGAATATAAAGAAGCTGTCATTCATCTGAGTTTTTGTGACTGTTTGCACAAGCTTAAGGTTGCCTGAGGCAGTCCCATAATTGCTGCACCAAAACACACAGTGTCATTATGCTGTGCTAATAAAGCCGAGCTCAGTCAGCCACATGCACGCATTAAGGTGTTCAGCCCCAGAGCTCACTTTCTTCGCACACACCACATTTTTTGCACATGCAGGTGTTTCCTGACATGCATGTCAGCTTTATTTGGAAAGTAGAATCTCCCACTGGGCTTGTTGGACGCTTAACTGTTTCAGGCACATGGAGCACATCTCTGTTGTTTGGAGCCTAACTGGTGGAGACAAGCAACTGCACCTGTGTCACACTGCAGGGTGCAGCAGCTGAGCACAGGGTGAGACCACAACAGCCTGCGTGATCTGCTAAACCAGCTAACGTGAAGCCCTGCCTCCTCCTCTGCTGCTTGTTGATGTGATTCAGGATGATGTGCCGCAAATGAAATAAACACCTCAGCCTCTGCTGAGTCAAAGTCAGCTGATCTATAAAAATGAATGACGGGCAATTTTCTGAACTGATTAGTTATTAAGCAAAAACTGGCAACAGCTGTTCATCAGTTCTGTGGACACGCTGCCTTTTTATTACTTCACAATTCCTCCATATCAAAACTAAAGTGCCCATTGTACTTTTTTGCTTTTTCACCTACTAAATGTTTTTGGTTCTGGCAAATCAAAGTTTACTATGCCCTTCTAAAACCACAGTAGCACACCAGTTTCTAGTATTTTTTATATCTGAGTGGCTTATTCTGATTTTTCTTTGAAGAGTCATTTGTTATTGATGCATTTAAACGAACAAGCAGTTTCTCTAAATTGGCACCAGATTGTTGGGATTTCTGCCCCTACATCTGGAAATCTAAAATTAAAGTGCTCATTGTTACTGGACAGAGGTATTATTGTCTTTGCTGATACCAGTAATAAACCCCTTTTTACTACAAAATTAGCATCTGCACGTTGATGCATGTGCACTTACTGAAACGAGGTTGTTAAATTGCCAGTAGCTGTGTATTTATTCTGTGTTTGCTCTTGACTCCACACACTCACAGGACTGCAGTTACATCCAAGGACAAGCTTAAAAATACACTAATTAAGGTCCTCCCAGTCCTTGAAGGAATGCATATCACCTGCAGCCTTTTAATGAGCAGGTTGTAACAACTTTGGTCTGGCCTTAAAACTAAGAGTAGGCACCATGACATGCAGTATTACAGGATGTTTTGTGAGTGACTCTCACTGACTACCACATCAAATGTTAGCTTAAAATCAGCAAAACTGGCTGAGTTAAGTATAAGCAGAGGTGGAAAGAGTACTGAAAGTTTGCACAAGTACTGTTACACTGCTTAAATTGTACTCAGTTACAAGTAAAAGTGCTGGTGTTATAAAAAATACTTAAGTAAAAGTACAAAGTACTCCTCAAAAACTACTCAGAGTATTAATTACTTTGTAACCAGTTGATGATTTATTGCGTTGTCAATAGAAGGTATTCAGTTCGATTTACTGCTCAGTGGGACTAACCTGTTAAATAAAGCACAAAGTTTGTTTTCTCAGTCATCCAGGTATATAACAACAAAAAAGGTTGAATCATGTCATCTGGACTTCGTTTTTTTTGTTAAAAAAGAAACGTTTCGCCCCTCATCCAAGAGGCTT